TAGGGCCAAGTATGCTCTTTTCAAGCCACCGACAGAGCGGGATCTGGTCTACTACGAGAACTCCCCTAATTTTTGCGAGCCCAACCCAGAGACAGGCTCCTTTGGGACGAGGGACAGAACGTGCAATGTCACCTCCCACGGGATCGACGGCTGCGACCTGCTGTGCTGCGGTCGTGGCCACAACACCAGGACTGAGAAACGGAAGGAGAAGTGTCACTGCATCTTCCACTGGTGCTGCTACGTGAGCTGCCAGGAGTGCATACGCGTCTACGATGTCCACACCTGCAAGTAAACGTAGGTAGGTCTCCAACTGATGGAAAGTTGCTCCAGAGCAGGGCCAAAGGCTCCACCGACCTTGTGATCGGCCTCCACATGGTGGTCTCACACTTCAGAGGATGGCATAAGAAAATCCTAACGCCCTTGGACAGGGCAGACACCCTCACAGAGCCAGCACCAGTGCTGCAGAGAAGGCTCGAGCCATCCCACCCACACAAGGTGGTCTAAGGCTAGAGCTGGCACTGCAGACATGTTAGATCACTGATCTGCTGACTTTTCTCAGGCTGTTTGGTGTGACAGACCATCTGGGGAGAAGCAGGGACAGCACAGGTTCAAGCGAGGCATGGCCACGCCGATCAGCGTGCTGTTAACACAGAGCTTCCAGCTCGGTCCTCCTCCGGAGGTCTGGCCCCCGTCCAACATGGGGGTTTCAGGTGGAAATGAATTTTACACAGCAAAAGCTGAGCAAATACAGGCTTCCCCGCCTGCTCGCATGGCCGTCCTGGTCTCAGCAGATGTGGTGAGGAGGAGGAAAGGAGCCAAGCCCCCACACCAGCCGGGCTCCTTCCTTCCTGCTCCGAGGAGACCATGTTGGAGAAAGAAGAGCCTTCCAGAGGCTTACAGCCACTCTCTCCTTCCACCTCCCCTTCGCCCTCTCTGCTCCCCACAGCCCCACATCACCTCCCATAATCCCCCTGAGGAGGACGGCTGGAAACCAGAGCCCAGAGCTGATTCTCCAGCACTTGGCCCAAGATAAGAGCAGACCACACGTGGTGAGGCTGCCACCTCTTGCATGGGGACGCACCACCACTCCAGCAGCCTCCTTGCCCCGCAGCTGCCCGAGAAAGATATTTAAGGATCTGGGCAGATCTACCCAGCTGATGCACCTATTTACTAAGCGTTCCCTAACACGACTTTACATCCCAGAGCAAGCTCAGAGTATCTCTCTGGGCACTTGGTACCCCCAGGCGAGCTGCTACACCAGCTCTGAGCATCAGAGTAATGGACGGGGAGACAGAAACCATGGCCAGAAGAAACTTCTGTCCAAGCCTTCTCATCAGCCTCCCCCCATCAGACAGACTAGTTCCAACCACTTCATCCAGCAGAAGAGAGGCAAAGGCAGTTGTGGGAGACCTTTATCCAACAGCACAATCCCAGGCAGACCCTTCCCTTCCCATAGGGTTTATTGAGTTATCAGCGACTCCTTCATCACGGAGCCCCCATCAAGTGCAGAGGCTCCATACCATTAGCAGGGATTTGGGCCCCAGGTGTGGCCACACGCTCCCCATGACCCATCTCAGTGCAGAAGAATCAGTGTTTGTCCCTCCACCTGCTCCCCAGGCCACGTCTCCCTCCTTGACCACACGTCCCCTCACTTGGGGCTTACGCTTCCATGGCGTATTGACCCTTCAAGTTAAAGAAATAAATATTCTCTCTCTCTGGGTGGGCTCCTACACAGATGATGCGGACTAATAGCCATGTTCCAACACCAATTCTCATGGATCAGTGATTTAACATAGAAACATGTCTAAACCATTAAAGCTGTGTCTTCTACTCCCCCCGCCCCGTTCTTTGTCCAAGGGAACGAGCGGCACACGGTACTGCAAAGAGCAATAAAACGGGTGCGGGACCCCTCATCTGGAGCAGAGAACACGGCCCTGTCACTCGGACCTGCGGCTGGAGAGAATCAGAGCACGATTCTCCGTCCCTCCTCCGTAGGGCGCGATGGGGAGCTCCTGGATCCACGCAGCCCGAGAAGCGCCAGCTTTCTAAAATCAGAGGTCACCGGAGAGCTCCAAGAAACCTTCCCGATTCGGAAATAAGCCGTCTTCTGATATGCATTCTATTTAAAAGTATATATTAAATTCCATGTCTGGAAAGACTCCAAGTACCTGATGTTACACAAAACCCCTTTTTTGTTTGTTTGTTTGTTTTTTAATCAAGAAAAGGTATTTAATATTAAATAGAACATTTATTGCCTTGTAATTATTTTACTGTAGCCAGGTATTCTAGCACTGAATGGAAGATCTTTTTCCATCAATCTGCTGTATCCAAAGTTTTGTATAAAGTTGTAGAGGTCGATTTTTTTTTATTTTATATTCAGAAAATTTCTCTTTTTATAAGCATTATTTATTATACAATGTATATACTTGAGTTAACTAAGATTATATATTATATAAATATATATATTTGGAGAAAAATATATTTCAACTTGCATTTTTTTTGTGGTACGTCATTAAAGAGAAGGAAAAAATCCCAAAATATGCACTTGCCAGCTTGTGTGGTTTGCCTCTGAAGGTCCTT